AAACGTGTCAAAATGTTCAAGCATTCCTTTCATATCTTCATAGAAATCATCAGTTTTTATATCATAGATGAAACTATCCGTATCCATGTACAACAGTATAATGTTTTTCCCATATTTAGGTGCCATCACATTATAGTGGAAGTCGTACATTAAAGTTTTGGATAAATCTAAGATACTCATTCCAACATAGATAGGTTATCAAAGAGTACTGCAGTTTTGTGCATATGTTATAGCGGCTAAATTTTCTTCAAATATGGTTCTTCCTTTAAAATTGGTTTAGCAATAAGTTTTTCGGCTTTCTCCGCATCACAGCACAGTTTGATATCAAGCCTTTTTCTAATATTTCCATTGTCTTACCAAACACAGAGTTGTTCATGAGTTTATAGAAATCTTTTTCAAAGTCATTAGTTGCTTTAGTTCTCATTTCAGTGTTCAAGTCGATATATGTCTTCAGCCAAGGTGCTTGCTTATACTCTAATACCCTGTGTACTTTCTTCAATTTTAAGCCCATTTGTAAAAATTGTTTCAAACCCCTGTAATGAAACCACATAATGATCTTTGTCATATAAGGTGTTAGTAATTTTGTATGTTTTGAGCCATCAGGAACTCTGTTCTCAGCTCCTAGTGGGAGGTCTGAATGGAGATCATGCAAATATTCAGGATATTCCAAGTCGCATTCTAAGATATAACCCACATCTGAATCGTCGGGGATCGCTGTTACATCTATATCGGTATCCCCCCACTTGAAGCCGCCATATGGTAGAAATTGGCTCATTGCCCATCCATACAAGTTATTGGCATCTAGGTAGATTAAATAATTAGATTCTTTACTTCTGTCATAGTCTTTCATATATTTATTATTAGCTTTTCTCATACCTATTACAACACACTGAGAATCCCACCTCTGGTTCCTTTTTCTAACATTAAAATCATGTTATAATCAGTCAATAATTCTAATTCCTTTCCAGTTGTTTTTAACATAGCATCCCAAGAGAGGACCGGGTGCAGTGAAGTACCAAAGTACAGCAGGATCCAATTTGTAAGTCCTTATGCAGACATCTCTAAAATGTTCCATAATATCAGCTAAGATCAGTACATCAGTCTTCACATACAAATCAGAATACTCACCTAAATTTTTAATGTTGAAGGTCTTCCATACTGTTTTGGCATGTGCATAGTCCTCGTGTGATATATCCGACTCAGTCATTTTGTTGTAAAATTCTTTTTTGTTGGGTAGTCGTGTTTCGTCACATTTATCCCACGAGTCCATATAATCATACGGATACACGCCTTTTCTGGTAACGAGGTCCAATTTGTCCTTGGGAAAGAATTTGGCTGTTTCTTTCTCTTAATTCTTTCACATTTTGGCTAAACTATCAATGCTGCTAGCCATGAACTTAAAAGAATCCAGAAACCCTCAACTTTATTCCGGGTAGCTTGACCTTTTTACCATCACCTGCATCTACCCATTCCGCTCCAACCTCTTTGCTGAATGAAATGTACTTTTCCTCAGTGTTTGGAATGACATCGATATTCCCATTATCACCACCTAGCTCTTTTATGAATAAATGAGAATCGTACCCAGATAAGTTGTGAATGAAGACAGGAATGAGGGAAGGTATTGGTACATTAAGTTACATAATTTATGAGCTGGCCTCTATAGTTTGATTCATGTTTGGATGGATCGAGTAAATGGTCATGATCCATTACTTTTTGGAAGTCCTCAGAGTCTTTCGGTGAATATGGTGATGGTACTTCTTTGATGTTAAACCCGCAGATATGACATATATGGGTTCTCTTGAAATGCCTGTCATCTTCATCAGTAATTTTGATTGGGTGCTTCTTATCATAAATTTTCTTTATCTCTAAGGCCTCGGCTTTCAACGTTTCGTAAAATACTTTAGTTGCATTTGGACCTCTATATGTGATAGGCGGTTTGTAGTCTCCGTGCTTATATTTAATGTAAAGTGAGAAACTCATGGGTTCATGTTTTTGGTACTTCTGCATGTAAGAGCTCTTGGGATCTGGCTGACATGTATCTATCTTAGTTGTTAAACTTTCAAAATCTGCATACATTACAAAAGGTGCTCGTAGCGATTTATGGTAATGTTTGAACTTTAATTTTGAATCTTTTTCAGGCATTACTATTTAAACAGCCTGATTTTTCTTACAATCCTTTTCATGCGTTTGAAGATCTTCCTCAGAGTGAAAAAATAACAGGCACCTTTCACATGGGTATACTCTTCCATTATGCTTGGTTAATTGCCCACATATTAATTTGGACATGTCTTTTATCCAACAGTAATGACTGTCCCTTTCTCGTTTCTTATGTAAAGTAAATTGACATGCTTATCTACTTTATGCTTAGTTATTCTTAAGGGGTATATGTTAGTCTTTTCATCGTATGAGTATATGTTCACTGATATGTTTCAATTTTTCGAACCTTTCGAGTACTCTGTCTTCCATCTTTACTGGGTATTCAATGCCTTCGAACTTTAGCTCATTTTCATATGGCTTATATTTGGTGACTCTTTGGGGCATCTTTTTCTGCTGGATGTAGTGCAGACAGTATCGCCCATTTAAAACACTCATTATCATTCTCATTTTTACGTTTATGACTGCTTTTTTAGCTTTAATCACTTTTGACAAATCAATGTAGGATGATCCTCTCAGTGGGGTGTACTTATTGATCCTCACCTCAAGACTTTTGATTCTAGCAAGCGTCCAACCTGAACCCCTTGCAACAAACTCCTCCATCTCCGTCAATAATTTTGGATAACTGATCTGTAATAAGCTACCAAATCAGTTGATTCTAAGATGACTTCATTTTTTTTTTGAAGTTTTTCTCCATTTCTATCATCGTTTCATCTTTCCCCTTTTTCATAGTCACAGAGAAATTGGAAATTAACCTTCAAGCCATGCAGCCTCTTCAGATGTTTTGTAATAAGACCCCGGACCAGTGATGAAACATCATTCAAGAAGTCTTTGGGAAGCATCAGATTGTGCTCATTTTGGACATCATACGTCACCAAACGGTTTTCAAAAGCCGTATCAATTTCATTGGGGTATATATAGCCTTCTCTCTCGCGAATCTGAAAACAGGTCGGAATCAAATTCGAAGTGACGGTTGAACAAAACGCTTTCTATGTATGCTTTGATGTCTGCCTTCCTCCGTAGTTTGGAATAGCCTGCGATGCCACGCGATCGACAAAATTCACGTAGTTGGTTAATGGTCATATGATGCAGCCCCTGCATATTGTCAAAATCATCTCTGTGAACCTCCTGGCTGGCCTTCTTAGGCTTATAGTTTTGATGAGCTTTAGTTTGTAAGTGCTTATTTATGCTAGATTCCTTTATTAACTTTCCGCAACACCTGATTTTTAGCTCCCTCTTCTTCTTTCGCTTGATAAACAAGTCATTGTGGAACCTGGAAAAGCCGTTGTGGTATTGAATGAGGGCGATCAGTTCCACCTTTTTAAGTTTCGAGTATCCTCGAATATCATTTTCTCGACAGTAATCTTGTAACTGTCGAACTGTTTTTGATTGAAAATCCATTTTGTCTTTCTATATACTACAAACCTTCTCTTTAAATGCTTTTATTATTCACTAGGTATTATTAATCAATTACCCATTGTCTCTCCTTTGACGCTCTAGAAGCCATACATAATGGTGCACTGATGGTATAAATTAATACCCTCACTAAATATACCATGCCAGTGGATTATGTGGGGGACGAATGTCCCCTTGCAAAAGAAGCATGCGATGAAGAGGAAAAGTGGCGTTTGTAAAAGCGGCGTTTGTAAAAGCGGCGTTTTGGAAAAGTAGCGTTTGTAAAAGTGGGTTCGATTTTAATGGAGGGTTGGAGAGCCATCACATTCTAAAAGTGGGTTCGATTTTAATGGAGGGTTGGAGAGCCATCACATTCTAAAAGTGGGTGGAATTTTTATGGAGGGTTGGAGAGCCATCACATTCTAAAAGTGGGTGGAATTTTTATGGAGGGTTGGAGAGCCATTGTTTTCTAAAAGTGGGTGGAATTTTTATGGAGGGTTGGAGAGCCATCACATTCTAAAAGTGGGTTCGATTTTAATGGAGGGTTTCGCAGTCATTGTTTCGCCCCCAAAGGTCACTGCGCCAGCTCTCTCATTTGTACACTACTTATGCCTATTTGGCATTCTGATGTCTCGACATTACACTGCAGATATGTTAAGCCATATTTACAGGAGCACCGTAGAGTGATATTCTAATATAAAATAAACTCATACCATCCAATTATTCCCAATACTGACCAGTATAAGGAGGCGCAAAACAAGATTTAAACAAACCCAAGATAGCAAGCACCAAACCACACAACCATATTTCCCATTCAACATTCTACTCTTTGATTTACTTGGCTGCAATTCTGCCTTGGTTAACATGCTCACCTAATCTTTCTTTGGTTGAACATCTATGATCTATGATATCATATATGATGGCATGACAGAAATGACCAGTGGCTACAATAGATGAATTCTGACAAGAAAGAAAACTGTCAACTACAGTGTCCCAAAATGGCATCTAAAGTCTTTACTATATGAGTAACAATAATCACTCTGTACAGATAGAAGTGATTATCGCTGCTTATGGTGGACAGATTCTGTATTCATCATAATACATTTTGTTTGTCCAATGTATCGAAAGTTTTAGCGATATCAACTTTGATTATGAGCAATCTGTAAAATAAACTTAGTTTATTATATTTTTATTGATGTTGAAATTTTAATGCTCAACAGTGTACTTATTCTCTCATTTGTTGTTTGATTCCCAGTTATTTGATCAAAAGTTGAACTATTATATCATTTTGTATATAGATAATTTTTATGCCCCCCCCCCAAAAAAAAATAAAATCAAAAAATTGCTTTTTAGGCATCAACTTTAAAGTGTTAAAGCTTGAATTTAATTATAATGTAGATATTGATATTATCCATACATATGTTTCAAAAATCATATTCTGTTTGAATTAGATGGACCTCCTGTAATGGCAACTGCAAGTACTTTGGGTCATGTTGCTGTTTGGGATTTGGAGAAAAAGCAACTTCATAGTGAAATACGAGATGCTCATAAGGGTTCTGTGAATGGTTTGAAATTTCTTCCTAATGAGCCTTTACTAATTACTTCTTCTTCTGATAATTCTATAAAGGTTATTTTCTTTTGTTATTTATTAAAAAATATTATTGGGGGAATAATTCTCCATAATTTCAGTACATTATTGATAGAAAATTATGTTATAATCATTTATTGAATTTCTGTAATGAATTTTTTTTTTTAATTTGTATTAAGTCTGCATATAAAAAATTATAGCAATACATTTATATATTGATTAAATACTCAATCTTTAATAGCTTAAGGATTTTGTAGACCTATCTTCTTCTTCTTCTATGGCCAGGCAGCCCAGGATGGGCCTTTGCCTTCCTCAGAATTGAATCCCAAACTCTTCTATCCCTGGTCATGGACATCCAATTTGTTATTTTTAAAATTCTTAAGTCTGTTTCCAAACAGTCGAGTCACCTGAGTTTAGGTGTCCCTCTTTTTCAGGTGCCGAATGGTCTGGCCGAAAAGATCGTTTTAGTTAATGTAGACTTATACTGCACTTAAAAAGTGGAAATATTTTTAATACCTTACATGCAAGCTGTTAATAAATCTTTTTCTAATTATATACATTCAGGGTGGTCATAAAAAAACTTCTATGATATATGAACCCCTTAGCTCTCTATCCGCTTAACCAATTGAAATGAAGTTTCAGATGTTGTTATTTGAAGGTATTCTGTACAATACTTTATATATATATATTAAGCTGTTTCATTAACAGTTTTTGTTATGCATGAATACTCTAAATTAGTTTCAGTATGCCTTTTCTAATTAAAGGTCTTTTATTTATCAACTTGTGTTCAACTTTTAATAATCTGTTCACTAAATTTAAAAATTCAAAAATTTATGTTTTAAAAATTGTATACATTTTATTGTGTTATAGATATGGATATTTGATTTGCCGGATGATGGAGGCCGACTTTTGCATCTCCGTGAAGGGCATAGTAACCCACCTTTAAAGATAAGATTTCATGGAATAAATGGCAAAAATATTTTAAGCTCAGGTAAAAATTTCATCAGATGCTCTTCAGCATCCCCAAATTAAGTTATTATTAATATTTATTTTGTTATCTGTCTAGTTAATGTTATACATTTTTAGTTCAGAATATTTTTTTGTATGCTAAACTAGGTCTTGACTCGACATTAAGATCATTTTCTACAGAAGCTGACAACTTGAACAAAAACTTAGGGCAAGCATCATTCAACCGCAAAGCAGCAAAAAAGAAGGGCCTGAAGCATGACACACAAAAAATGTTGCCAATAGTTGATTTTTCATCAGGTTTTTATGATATATTTAATCATTTTGCTGCCATTTAAATTTATCCTAATTTTGAATTAACACAGCTTGATAAAATTGTTATGCATTAAATATTTTATTTTTTATAGATATTACAAGAGAAAAAGACTGGGATAATATTGCTGCAATACATCGACATTCAAAGATTGTTTCTACTTGGTCATATGGACATTGTCGTATGGGAAATCATAAGCTAGTACCTGAACGTTTCAAAGGAATCAAAGGAGTTGAAGCTTTGGTAATAATTGAAAAAAAAGGAGGGGGACCAAGACCTCCAGTTTTATTCATTCTAAAACTTTAGTTGTGTGTAATTAATTTTTCCATTTTCCAAATTTTAATGTTTTGAATTTTATATTTCTACTAAGGTCATTTTCACTTTGAAAATGTATCTAGCTGTTCTAAAATATGAATTACCATTGCAGATGTAAGATAAATGTGGCTAATATATTAGAATTTTTTTTAAGTAACAGATAATATTCCCACTATTACTTTTATTTATTTGTTTATTTTATTTTTATTTATTTATTTTTTTAATTCTTGCATTTAGCTGTCATTGAGATGATTTTTCCCCCTTTTATGCTAGAATGTTTATTTGTTATCAAACCACATTTGATACTTTTCTAGATCTTTCTTTTATAATTTGAGGTAACAGTGAGTTTATGTTAAAATATAATGGAAATTTTTATTATGTATATTGATTTGAAGGAATTCAGAATTTGAAGGTGTCTAGAACACCATCAACACCAAGTTGAATCCTAAAAGTTGTCATTTAAATTTACTAATTACCAATTACATTTGGAAGTTTTAAGGCAGGAAACAAAATAAATCGACATTGCTCTTGCTGTAACTCAAACTCTAGACCTTCTGACTTCTAGGGCACACAGAAAGCACAGAGAAAAACCTTACAATTACATAAATAAGTTATTCAGTGGGACATCAAATTTTAGTTCTTTTGTGTATATGGTATAACATTAAAGTTTGGTGAATATGTTTTTAAACAAAAAATTCTTATCTAAATAAGGAAAAGCATTTTATATTTCATTGACATAATGACCATTATATGCAATGCACTTTTGACATTGACAAAACAGTTCCTGAAAAACAGCAAAGTCCTTTTTCAATATAGCACGAAGAATCCTCATCACATCTCCATAATATAATCTTATTTCATCATGTTATAATTTTCTTTCACATATTTACTAGATTTTACAGATTTTACACTTAGAGAACTTGGAATAGAACTTTAAATTCATTTGTTGCTTCATTTTATAGCCACTCCTACACCTTTGCATATTAAATGTTATTAATAGAAATCCATTGTGTATATTAATGTGCCATGCTCAGGCATGTTCACATACATTATGGGGTACTTTTCCACTTTTTGTTGTTTACTGTCTACCATATTTTATCATGCATCCTGTGATGTCGTTCTCCTAACTTTATTGCGTACAAGTACATTAGGCTAAGTTTACTTTTCCTTCTTCTTTGTATAAATGGCTCACTCCTGTTAATTTAATGATTTATATACAGTTACATGTTTAAGCATTTATTTTTAAGTAAAATTTGAAATCCACTTGCCGATTTTAAAGCATCTCAACCAAATAAATTTGAAAAAAAAAAAAGATTTGGATTGTATTCTGTTTAAAAGTAAAATATATTTCGAATGATTTTACTTATTTAGAAAAATTAATCTCAACTATAAGGTTAATCACATTTCTAGATTATTATTTTTTTTCTTTTTGTTAAAACTGCAAGTTATTTAAAAGTGTCAGGCCCACTAGCAACCGAGTAGTAAAGTCGGTGAGCATTGATAGTTTGGACCAGGGTTCGAATCCTGGTTGCATGGGTGTTTTCGTGCAACATTTATAAAACCCGATTTCCCTTAGAAAGTCCTCCATGAAGGCAAAAGGAAAAGGTGCATGAAAATAAGAATTAAAAAGCAGTTAAAGTAAATGCATTTTTAAGTCAGGTTTTCCCCCTATTTCTTAAAATATTAAAATATATTTCATTGAATGTAATTATTTTAATTTTTGAAGTATAGAATTATTTACATACATAAGGAATTTCTTTTTCCATTTACATTATAAATCACATCTTTATATGAATGAGGCAATTTAATGCTTTTTGAAATAATGGTTTTGTACCATGTTTCTATAATTCTAAACAAATGAGTGGACTGTATAAAAAGAGAACTAACAACTTTATTAACAATGATTACTATATTCAGTATTAGTACATGCTCTGGCATGATGCTTAGCCAAATCCAAATGGCCAAGTGAGAATTTTATTTCTCTCTACAATAGGTGGCACTGTATTCCAACTTAACACGCTGCCACCCATTGAAATTCCAAATTTCAGTTTGTAAATTATAAACATACAATTTAACAGTTTCAAGAACAACTAATTCTGCTGTCCAAATATGAAAGCTAATAGCTAATTTTCCATCGCGAATGTAATTTAAGTAGACAATTGTGAAATACAATATAAAATAATATAAACAGTATAATAAAGTTTAAAAAGTTCCATTTCAATATATAGCACAATTTTCAATAAGAACATGATATTGTAAAGCTCAGCATTATTATCCTGTATAGGCAGTAAACAGATTTTACTAATACATCGAATATATACACCATTTGGTCTTTTCACTTTAACAACTCCAGTTTTATTATCTTTGTCAGGTAATACTTTTACAATTCTAGCTAAAATTCATCCAGGAGGAAGATTATCATCCTTTAACACAACTGACATATCTTCCTGTGAATTTTCTGTATTAATAAACCATTTGGTGCATTGTTGGAGATGATATAAATAATCAGTCTGCCAGCGTTTCCAAATAATTTGAATGAACTTGATAATAATCTGCCATTTAGAAAGTCTATTATCTGTTAGATGAGACAAATTAGGCTCAGAATTAAAAGTAATGGAATATCCAATTTAAAAATGACCTGATATTAAGGCTTCAAGGTTATTCACATCTGTTGAGAAAGGTAAAATTGAACGAGAATTGAGAATACCTTCAGTCTGTGTAACAGCAGTCCAAAGTTCTTCTAAACTGAATTTATAACTGCCGATTATATGCTGAAGATGGTATTTAAATGATTTAACAGCTGCTTCCCATAAGCCACTAAAATTTGGTATCCTGGGTGGAATCAATTTCCAGTTTATACCCTCGCATGTCAAGAAATCTGCTGTATCAAATTTAGATTTAAGAACTAAGCTATGCAATTTTTTCTGTTCTTTTTTGGCACCAACCATATTATTACTGTTATCTGATATTATGTTGCCACACCAGTGGCTGAGTGGTTAAGACAACTAAATACTGGTAGTTTGCTCTGGCATGTGTTCAGTCCCAGGTAAATGGGCTGGCTGCATGGTTGATTTTCTTGGTTTTTCCCATGTGTTCACAAAAAACGAATTTACCCCCATTTCATCTTCCGTTATTTTGACATACGGACTGTACTTAACCCTTTCCAGACAGACCTTCCATATGCACAATCACTACGAAGGTTTCTCACAACTGGGCATCCCATCCGTGCATTATTAGAGAGAGACCATAAGGAATGGGTGATGTGTATGTGCATTTTAAGCTGAAACATTTACATGAATATAAGCCAGTTCTCATAGAAAGTACTCCATGAAGGCACCCCTTGTCTTACACAGATAGCCCTCGTGGTTTTTTGATATTCAAGTAACCTAACCTGATATTATGGTATTGCATTTTCTATGTTTAGCAATAAATTGCTCTTAATTGTAATGCATCTGTGGTTAAATCAGTTACTACCTCTAAATGTATTTCTTTAGTAGTTAAACATATGAATATATCAACATACATACACTTTTGTATAATTACCTTTTCTCAGATTTTTATACTTGAAGAAGAGCAGAAAAATCAAGTCCACATTAAAACATGCTATACATTCATGTAGTATCCATAAGTGCGACACAACCACCAGAGGGCCTCACCGATGCGCCAGCAGCGAGGTGAAAGATGAGTATGACATAGACAGAGAGACTCTTGTGTTATCCCACGCGAAGGTGGTGAGCTGCACGTGAAGGTGTAGAATAAGGAACTGTAGTTTTCCACGCGAAGGTGGTAAATTGGACTGTACTGTTTTAATACATCAGCAAATGCGAGTAGGCACTAATCGGTTATGTGATAAGACTGGTAAAAGCTATACATAATCCTCTTTGTATCAAACGGCACTTGTATTTAATCTAATTTGTACCTTTTCTGATTATCTTTATTAAATGTTCTGTGGTGTGGAAAACAAAGTTGGAACTGTTATTTAGCATCTTCAACTCCCCTACTACATTCATGTGAAACCTTTCGAGCTATATCTCGACCACTAATAACCCAACATTTACTGTGAACCTGATGCAATAAAGCTTGCACCTCAAAATACAAAAATTGAACATGGTAATACTCAAAAATTAATCTAATACAGTCAAAAGTCGTTAATTTGGACACCCATAATCCGGACCTCAAAGCTACAAAACTCTCTGCGCATGCGTCGCGTTCACGCATGCGTACAGGCGTTTAAGAGTGCGCGTAAGTCCTTTACGGCTGCGAATATGTTTGTGCGCATGCGCGTTTAATGTGTAACGGAGGTATAAGCTAAGCTAAAATTATCTAATTCAGTTAATGTTGCAGATTGCGTTGTTCCTTAAGCTTCAAATCCGGGTTATTATTTTTTGCAGACTGTTAGAGCAATTTCATAAAAGTAAGCTTGAACTTTCGATTATGTCAAATAGAATTTCCGATGTATATTTACTAATATGTAATTTGTATCTACAAAGCGAAAGTATGTTTTGAAATCCGAAATCTGTATATCAATTTCACGCTGCGGATTGGAAGTTGATCTGTCAGCACTATCCTTATTTGGCTTATAATTCCTATCTAAGTGTAGTATTTCATCTCGATGTACTCCGTCTTTGATATGATTTAAATCAAGTTCCTCGTCATTATAATTCACTTCCGATAGTTGAAGAAAGTGACCCAAAGGTTATTGAAAACGAAAACATTTCGATTGACAAATTAGTCGGTATTCTCAACACAGCAATTATAAGACTTGAACAGCGGAACTTTGTAACTAAACAAGAAATTATGTCTGTTTAATAGAATTAAAGAGAATGTATTATCACATGAAACGAAGCAACTTACATTGAAAGAAATGTTTAATAAAGTAAACAAATAAATATTAAGCTTTTTTTTGTAAATTTTGATACCCTTTAGAT